AAGTAGTTGTTGATGCCCACGTATTATGTTTTGAATAGTGTCAAGATGTAAAGCCATTAAATCAAATTTATATTGTGTAATTGTTTTTGAATAACTTGATACCAAACTAGCACGTCGATCTTTATCAAGAACTTGATTTGAAAGCATCGGTTGGATATAGTTCATGGATTGATTAATCGTCGTAAGAAAATTCTTTTACGGAGAATTTCTTCTTGTGCTTTTGTTTTTAATATACTTGCTGTTGTTTGCCATATTTGTTTTGCTAGTTGTATCTAAAGTTGAAAAGTATATACAAGTGGAAACATCTAATATGCTGTTTAAACAAACCTGTTCTTCATTTGGTTTTAAGTTATAAAATTTTGTAATTAAATCACGATCATTTGAATCTAATACTAACATTTTCTTTTTATAATCAAATTCTTGTCTTAATCGTTGTTGAGCACTTTTCACACATTCATTTATAGCATTGGATAAAATAGCTGGATTAATGTATGGCTGCCAATGTTTGACATTTTGTTCTGATTGTAATATATATTGTTGTAATTCATTTATTGTACGTTGAAATTGTTGTGTGATGGTTTGTAGACGTTGTTCAACTATATGTTTACGAAAACCATATGTACGACATGTATGATGTTGTTTAACAAAAGATTTTGATACTCGTAGTGCCCATTTATTTTCTTTTATACCAAGATCAAAATAATCTTGCCAGAGTTGACGTTGTAAATCGAAATAATATAAGGGTGAATCCATGGAGACCCATCCACTTTTTTGGAAAGGTCTTTTTTTTCGATTTTTTTTTGTTCAAAAGGCTGATCTCGACTAGAAAACACTTTTGATCAAAAAAAATTAAATACTCTCTATCAAAAATTCCGAGTTTTCGAGCATTTTCTCGGAACACCTATGGTGTACTTTTATATATAGGGGAAATGGCATGAAATAGGATAGAAATTTTTTAAAAACAATTTTTTCGGATTCTTTTGGTTTTCAAAAATATAAACAAAGTCTAGAAACATGTTTCTTGAGGTACATCAGATCAATTCTAATGGAGGTTTTCAATGCTTAGTCATTTTCTCTGAACATATCAATAGCTATATTTCGTCACTTTATCTTTAAAAATCTATTCCAATGCCACGACGAAAAAATTGTGA